ACAGGGGAGCCTGTGACATCCCTATTTAGTACCAGAAGGGGTAATCATCGACCATTTCTACGGTCAACTGTGATGGCAGAGGATGCCCCAGGTGATGATCACAACGGCCAGCCTGCTTTAGTTGCTGGTTTTGAAGGAAGGCACAGGATGGCATCTGAGGTTTGCTTTATAGCATCTTTTTATTTTGTGTTGTATCATTGTTATTATTAAAGTACAGAGTTTTTGTTTTGTTTTGTTTGCATGTTCTCTTTACTTCAGTGTGTGTGTGTGTGTTGCTTTTGTGAAGAGAGGATCTTCCTTTCTTACCCTATGAGACATTGCAAAGTTTATTTAGAACTTATATTATTTGATTGTAGGGTAATTAACATGGTTTTAAAAAATAATTTGTGAAATTTACTTTCATCATTCCAAATTTGCATGTCAGAGAAATTTTCTCATAGCTTGGGGTTGCTCCATGTCTTTGTTTTGTGTATTGTTTTGATTCCAAATGCTTTAACAATTTTCTTATAATCAGTTTGAGCATAGGACATCCTTTTACTTAAAATCATGGGACATTCTATATTTCTACTCTTTTTTTTTGCTTCTTTTTGTGGGATTTGCAATTTTATGAAATTTGTGCCTTATCATGATTTTGGATTCTTGTTGTCTATATATGCTTGTAAAGATATAAGGCATAGCAAGATTTAGTACATTAGGAGCTTTCTTGGTAAAAGTTGGGGTATTGTACTGTATTTGTCTCCTGCTAAAAAGTTTAAAACTCCGTATCAATTTAATGCATTTGTTGGTACAGATATGCCAAGTGCTTAATACTATGCAAGGGAATGGGAACTTCCGGGCTGAGGTTTGATTTTTTTCATCTGTATTTCAAATATATAAATTATGCCTTAGCTTAACTATGGATAATGGATGTGCCTCTATTCATATTCGCATGGCTTCAAAGACACTAGACATGTTTTTTTATGTAGTCCTTTAAACTGCTATATAAAAAACCATTCCTTGCGAGGCACATGAGAAATTCAAGTCAAAGCGAAGAATTTCTGTCTTGCGAGGAATTTCTGTCTCATTTCCAACCTAGCCAAATTTGACAATATTGCCGCTCTGTACACCCTATGGATCAAAATATATTTCCCCTCTATCAAGATGATTTTCGGCCACATATGGCATCCACCATTGTTTGGTACATATTCCTGATATTACAATAACAACCACAACAAAAACAACGACCAAAACAAACCCGGTAAAATCCCACAAAAGTAGGTATTGGGAAGACAGCGTGAACGTATATGTTACGCCTACTTAGAAATTTAGAAGCTGTTTCCATATTGTTTGTAATGTCAATTGCTCTTTATTTGGATGCACACATGAATTGTGTTACTCGTCCCTTGCATATGTACATTATTAAACTGACAATAAACCTCAGGATTTTGCAATGTTCGATCAATTTGTTAGTGGAGTTGCTCAGTTACATGATAGCCATAGAGATATGAGGCTTGATGTGGACCACATGTCTTATGAGGTGACACACTCCTCTTTCTTTTTCATTTGTTATGGCCTTTAAGTTGTTTTATAATGATAGATTTCACTATGCACAAACTTTCTATCTACCTAAACATACTTAACCATAGAAGTGCTTTTGAAATAAAGTCTGTTTCGCAAGTTTTAGTCAAGAACACTTAGTGATTTGTAAAAATGTTATCCTGCCTTCTTACATCAAAATCACTTCCTAAAAGCTTTCTAACTAAAGCACATTCAAACGAGACCTTAATTTCTAGGCATATGCTTACTAAAGACTCGATATGGTTTATCAGGAGCTCTTGGCATTGGAAGAACGCATAGGGAATGTGAGCACAGGTTTGAATGAGGAAACCATTTTTAGATCCATGAAACGACAGAAATATGTAAGCTTATTCGGACAAGGCCTTTCGCCAAATTTGGAGCCGTGCTGTATATGTCAGGTGAGATTCATGACTCATATCCACATTACCAAAAGAAGCCTTAGCTTTTCTATTAATCCTATCTAGATATGATAAATAATGATAATCGAGTTGCTAATATTCCTCATCTCTCTCTCTCTCTTTCTCTCTCTTACTGTCTATCAGGAGGCGTATGTGACTGCAGATGACATTGGCACATTACAGTGTGGACATCAGTTCCATACGAATTGCATTAAACAGTGGTTGATACTTAAGAATCTGTGCCCCATCTGTAAGACCACAGCCTTGAAAACTTGAAACTAGCC